GGGTACGGGTATCAGGTAGGGTACGGGTATCAGGTAGGGTACGGGTATCGGGTAGGGTACGGGTATCAGGTAGGGTACGGGTATCAGGTAGGGTACGGGTATCAGGTAGGGTACGGGTATCGGGTAGGGTACGGGTATCAGGTAGGGTACGGGTATCAGGTAGGGTACGGGTATCAGGTAGGGTACGGGTATCAGGTAGGGTACGGGTACGGGTAGGGTACGGGTATCGGGTAGGTACGGGTATCAGGTAGGGTACGGGTATCAGGTAGGGTACGGGTATCGGGTAGGGTACGGGTATCGGGTAGGGTACGGGTATCGGGTAGGGTACGGGTATCAGGTAGGGTACGGGTATCGGGTAGGGTACGGGTATCAGGTAGGGTACGGGTATCGGGTAGGGTACGGGTATCAGGTAGGGTACGGGTATCGGGTAGGGTACGGGTATCGGGTAGGGTACGGGTATCAGGTAGGGTACGGGTATCAGGTAGGGTACGGGTATCGGGTAGGGTACGGGTATCAGGTAGGGTACGGGTATCGGGTAGGGTACGGGTATCAGGTAGGGTACGGGTATCGGGTAGGGTACGGGTATCAGGTAGGGTACGGGTATCGGGTAGAGTACGGGTATCAGGTAGGGTACGGGTATCAGGTAGGGTACGGGTATCGGGTAGGGTACGGGTATCAGGTAGGGTACGGGTATCGGGTAGGGTACGGGTATCGGGTAGGGTACGGGTATCAGGTAGGGTACGGGTATCGGGTAGGGTACGGGTATCGGGTAGGGTACGGGTATCAGATAGGGTATCGGGTAGGGTACGGGTATCAGGTAGGGTACGGGTATCGGGTAGAGTACGGGTATCGGGTACCCGGTTGCGACCTCTGCGTAGCGTGGGGTAGATGGGCGTTCAACAGCCCCAAGTGCAGCTCGTGTTGAGTTGAGTTGGTGAACAGCGTTGCTCCCACTGCGTCTGTGACCCAGTTGGACTCACTACGGGTGTCACGTGAAACAACGTGATCTAAACAAAAGCAACAAAACTGCAGGAACATTGTTCCTGCAGCACGGCGGCGAGAGAACGGCGCAGATGTTTTAAGAGACTCAACGTGTCACATTTATTGCAGATAGCTTCACATCAATCACTCAGTCTCAGTCAACACTCACCGTTATTGATCAATTTCAATGTTTTCCTGCGTGGCTTAGACATTATAATAAAATAAAATAATTATTTTTCAACAATTCTCTTATTTCTATTATCTATATTATTTATGTAATACTTGTTTTTTCCCGAAAGAGTTTCAAATAATCCTTTTCTCAGACCATGAGAATGACTTGTGTTGAGGTGACTGCGAGTATGCAGCTATATTCTCACACAGCTCAGCGCCATGATACAACTACTACTACTCAGATTTGTGTTCCATGATAAGTGAAGATTACGTTTAAAAATCACGACTCACTTGCCCGCACTTTAGTCGGTGACGCCAAACACACAACATTATTTATGAACCATCAAAACTACTGTCTGATGTTGTGACTTAAAAAAAGTGTTTTACAAATATTCAGACAATTTAAAACAACACAATCCCCTGTTTTGTTCCTGTGTGAGCACTTTTCTGCGTCAAATAAACGCGCCCAGTAACACGTACCGCACCACAATTGTTCTGTGGAATTTCTTTAAAGTAATGAACATTTCAGTTGGTGGTTCGCACGTTTTAACGCCGCTGAATTTTCATCCGATTCAAGCCCCGAGCCGTTTCAATGTTTGCTTCTCTCTTTGCCACTGCCGAGACGTGAATTGCCTCAAGTTTAAAATGTTTACACAACGATGCACAAATTACGAAGCGCTTCTTCTTGGTTCTTTCGGTAAAGTCACCACGTAGAAGGGAAGTAATAAAATAATAAAAATAAAACACAATACAATTATTCTCACGACGTTTCGGCCACAACGCAAGCAGCCGTCCTCAGGTGAGAACCAGGTCCGTCGAGGCGACAGCGTCTGAATGAAACAGCGCACGAGCTTGGAGCATATATATAAGCTGGGCGCCTTGACAAAGTAATTTGCATATCAAGAGGAATTTAGCATATTTATGGGAAATGCATGAATGTGATTAGTACTGCGTGTGCATGCGCATTATGCAGGATTAACAGCATCACGAAGCGCTTTCTAAAGACTATTACTATTTTACTGTTCAACGCCCGACAGAGGTCGGACTACACGTTGAAACAAACCTCGTCTTTGCAACAAAAAAAGTAAAAAAATCTCCGTGGGTTGGTGATGGCCGTGTCAGGTGGTGGTGGCAGGTTCTAACGCCACAATAAGTATATCTATTCACGCGATCTAACCAACACTCAACGTGTATCGTGGAGTCAACAACAACGACGATGACGACATGAGGGCTCTCCGACGCGTCTCTAGGTAGGGGTCAGGGTGACGTCGCGCCGTGTCCTCCGCACAAATCTGTTGTGCTGCCTTTCCCAGCGGCGACGTTCTCACTCTCCTCACTCCTCACTCTC